CTTCCCTGACCACTCAGTCTCTAACTCTTCTAGGGCCTCAGACACATCTCTCGAACAGAGCATCGGTGGGTCTGAATGTGTCTGCGGGGCGATGTATGGGTCACTAGCCTTGGCCAACGCCTGAAGTGGGGAAGGTAACGTAACCACTTCAGCGCGAGTAAGAGCGGCTAACACTCCTACTGGCCCAAGGAGTTTCCCTGCGAAGTGCTCGCAGAAGCACCGCCAGGGTTCGAAGATAAGCCCGCCACTGTTGGTGATGCTACCTTCGTTGTGACCTTTTTGCCTCGGCATGTCCGTGACATGTGGCCATAGTTGCCACAATTCATGCATGTGCCCCTGGCAACTCGGTCCCTCCACACCTCGTAATCTAAACCAATCTTCACCCATGCGGGTGTCCTTTGGTCGCCCTGACCCGTGGACCGTACTGCCTTCTTCTTCCTGGTCCCCCTAGCCTTTTCTTTGATAGGCGCCACGACTCCCCCATCGGAAGTCTCTCCGTCATTTGACCATCGTGGTCAACGAACATTAAGTGACCCTTCTTCTTTCAGTCCTCGGGAAGTCTCTTCCTACCATCATGAGATACCTGATGCGTGGATCCCAGCTTTGCCTCTATGTCCAGAGCTTTCTTACTAAGAGTTGCGAAGGTCTGTTGTTCGACATAGGCCTCATCAACCAGCTTGGTCCTTACCTCTGCAGGTAGGCACCTTAGGTAATCCGTCAGGAGAACCTGATGGTCAAAACGCACACCAGGTACCACGAGTAAACGTTCTACGGTGTCCGTTAGCTCTCTAACATTCTTGAACCTGCGGGAACAAAGATTGTTGATAGCATCGGCGACCTTCTGAGCCCCTTGCGGGTCGTGCCACCTGTCATACACGAACCTTACGAACTCTTCCAATGTTTGAGCCTGTGCCCAGGCATCGAAGTTTTGACCGTAGCCCTGCTGCTGCACTAAGCCATTCAACCAGCGGGCTGATGACCCCTCCAAAAAGGAGGCAGCCACTACAACTTCCTGCCCTGGCCTGGTGAGCTTGTGCCTCACATAAGTAGGCAAAGTCCTCACCCAGATGTCTAAGTCGTCATCCTTCTTCCTATTGTCAGAGAAGGGCTTGAAACTCATCAAAGGTATTTTGGGCATCCACTGCATAGGCTGCATGGGCCCAGGGGCTTGCTGCCACGGCCGCATAGCCTCAACCGCCATTGCTATTAGTTCGTCCTTCGGTCCTACTATCGCTCCTCACGAATCTTTCTCCTCTTTGCGACCTCGAGTGGTGATTGGTCCTTCTCTAAGTTCTGCTACTACGGTAGGTGCCCGTTTCTCCAAACTCCGGATCAACAGCTCTCCCGACGTGCATTCTTCGCCCATCATTTCGTTATCCACCGCAAGAGTTCCTCCTTCGTACTCAAGGAATGCGTCTATGGGCTCCGCATCTTCGCCCATCAGCCTTGTTTCTGATTCCCGCAATCCGTTCGATCTTATAATAGAACTGCCAGATAAATCCTACCCATCTCCCCACCGTCGGATCTATAGGCCTGTAATTCTTTAAGGCCCCTGCAAAATTCGTCGGATCGATCCTAAGGATGAACCGCCTTCCAAATAGGTAGGCCTGGAAGGTCTTGAGGCAATGCAAGATGGCTAGGACCTCCTTCTTGGACTGTGAGTACCATCGTTCTACGGAGTTCAGGGTTCTACTTTCGAACCTAATTGGCCTCTCTTTTCCTTCCTCATCCCTTTGAATCAGCACGCCTCCTACGGCCAAGGGTCCTCCATCTGTTTCTAGGATGAAGGGTTGTCCTACTTCGTCATTAAAATAGGGTGCGGACAAAGCGACTTGCTCAGACGTCAGTATGTCCTTGAGTGTTTGGACGGCTCCCTCTCGCTCCTCCGTCCAGTCCATGGTCCCTTCTTCTGTAATCATGGCCCGGATAGGCTCAGCAATCTTGGCAAAATTTTTAATGAAGATCCTCCAAAAAGCCGACCACGCCTAGGAATGCTCTTACCTCCGTCGTCGTGCGCAGGGGTGTTGGCCACTGTGATATCTTGTCGGTCTTCGCCGGATCTGGCTTCCTACCGTAAGCACCACAGCGAAATCCAAGTATGGTTACTTCCGGTACTGCTAGAATACTCTTTGGTCCACTAGCCGTAATGTTGTATACTAGGAACCGGCGGAGTAAGTCCTTGAAATCTTGTAGATGGTCCCATACAAATCTTCGGATTCCCTGGACTTCCGTCTCATCCTTCTCTTGCGCGCCTTTGATCGGGTTGTCATCGATGTAGGGCTCACACTTCTCTGGGAACATGTCCCCGGCTACGGCGAGCATTCTCCGTTGCGCTTCGGCTACCACGTTTGTGAAGCCCATAGGGGTCACCTGCATCTGCAATTGTCCTACGGGGGTGTGCATTGCGGTGTATGGCCTGTCCCGAACATCCAATGGAAGTTGGTCGTACCCTGAGTACAGATCGATCAGGGAGTAAATGCTCCGGCCGACGTGCGACTCTGCTAATAAATCGGCCTGAGGCAGTGAGCCAGCATCCCGGATGGTTACCGCATTTAACTTCTACAGATCCTGAATCCACCTCAGCGTCTTGTTGGGCTTCCGAAAGACGAACCATCGGTTTGCGTATGGCGACGCCGTAGGTTCTGCGACGAAGGAGTCCATCTTTGCTCGAAGAAGGTCCGTCACTTCTCCTGCTATCCCAAATTCATAGGCCGGACCCTTGTCCTTCCAGCACTCATGCTCTACCATGTGGATTCTGACCGGAGGAATTAGCTTCGCGTCCAACCGCCCCTTCTGGTGGTCACTAAAGGCAAATGCCAGGTGAAACTCCTGGCAGACCCTTTTGATCAGGAGAGTTTTTTCCTCTGTTAAGAATCCCTCTACTCCTATCTTCATTGTATCAACTACCTCAGTTGGTATCCGATGCCCTTCCGTTGCTCGCCTCTCTCGGATCGCCCGGAGGACTTCCTCCTCTTTCTCCATAGCCTCTTCCTTTGACGTCTCTAGCAGGATCGAGACCAGTTTTGTTTTTTTTCCTACCGGCTTGTATTTTCGAACACTTCCTTCCGGGATCTTTCTCCTAAAAAATGAACGGCCAGAATTGCCCTCGCCACTTCTACGATTCATGGTTGAATACTGACTAATTTTCCGTTTGGACAATATCCCTTTTGAACTTCTCCTTCGAATTTGGCCAATGCAACCAAGTCCACTCCTACGTTGTGGTATCTGATGGCCTTGACGAGCTGTAGCAAATCAGGAATCTCGAGTGCGACTTCTGGTACGTCGATGCGCACTTCCTTCCGCTTGGGCAGGCTGGCCCCGAGTTCGACTTCTGATTCCCTTTCTGCCACCATAACACCTAAGACTTCGTCCTCCTGCCTTCTCTTCTTTTGGGCCAGGCCCATCTTGATCCATTCCTTTTTATTGAATGCTTCCTCGATCATGATTTCTGCCATTTCTCTCATGCCCTCCATCCGCGCAAAAGCCCCCTTCCGTGCGCTATCTTCGAAAGATGGTGACCATGTTGCTAACTTCCCCTTCGGAGGGTCTCCTCCCGTCCCAAGGAGTCGGAGGAGCTCTCCCCGGCCGGTCACTGGATCCTCTATGTCTACCATGTACGTGCCATCGTGCAAGTGCATACCTATCATTTCTACGTTTGCACACCACGGCCTCCCGAGGATTATGGCGTGGTCCATTTCCTCCATTACAGTAATCCGTTGAAACGACCAGATCGAGTCCCTGATTCTTGCCTTGACTGCGCATTTCGTGACATACCCAGCGAACGAAATTTCCCCACCGGCTCCCCGAATGCTTCCTGTTACTTCTTTATTTACCGTACAGCCCGTGATTGTTGCGAAATCTCTCCTTATGAGAGTGATTTCCGCTCCCTCGTCTTCTAATGCGTCAGTATGATGAGTCCCGATCTGGATATTCAACTTTCCTACGGGTAGCGCATGGAAGCCGAGCTTTGTCCCGGGAGGTGCCCTCATGACCTCGCCACCTTCTCGGTCTGGCAAGCTCAGGCGGATGTCCGCAAAGGCTTTCTCGAGATCCTCCAAATCCCCGCGACTCCTTTGAAGGTTAGCGACTTCTTGCGGAGCTTCTTCCTCTCCTTCCCCTTCCGGTGATTCGGGGTTTTCGTCTATCTCTACTCGCCGTCGAGTCAATAGTTGTCTGAGCCCTTTGAGGAACCTAGGGTTGGCCTGCAACATGGTCTAAAACGACACCGACACTATGGTTCCTAGTAGTTTGCTAAGGGTGTCATCGATCTCAGGCATGGTTAAAATCGGGGTTTGGTACCTAAACTTCTTTTTAGCGGCGGTAACTTTGTCCATAGGCTCCTCTTCCCTAGGTTTCCCATAGACTTTCTCTGGTTCCCCGGCCTCAGGCTCTGCCTGGGGTACGGAGCTTCCAGCAACCTCCTCCATCACGGTGTCACGGATAATCCTTCTCCCAGCCATCCCTAGCCGAGTAGTCGCGTTCACCCTATCACGTCCGTCGTTTTCCAAAATGAAGTTGACCTGCGGCCCGCGGCCCCGAAGTTGATCCCAGATGATATCGACCACCGACTCAGCTTCTACGGCCGCTATCTCTAGCCCATTGAGCATGATAATGGCCCGCCGCATCCCCCTGACGAGTTCCAATTCACCCGTTCTCCCTGTGGTCAGAATATCTTTCCCTTTAACGACCTGGTACATCTCCTTTTTAATATATCATGGTGGAGTTTTGGACATGCGCGCACATAATGTCCCACCGACGTGCAGTACTTGCATTGCTCGTTAGCAGGATCTCTCCGTCTGAATCCCCAATTGGCTACACCTGGCGGAACTACGGCTTCTTGGGGAGGGTGGGCGGGTCGGGATACTTGCGCCTGCATAACCAGTAGCGCGTTCTCCACCCTTTCAATCTTGTTGTCGACTCCGTGCACCCGTTCATGTAAACTTTCAATCCCCTTCTTTACCTTATCGCCTGTTCTACCGGTCAGATCTATGACCTCCCCTTCCTTAAGCAAGGCCAACGTCTCGGTCACTACTGTCTTCTCGGCCAGATCCGTTGTCGGGACTGGTGAGTCCCGAATGACTTCCCGTCACTCAAGAGACTGTATATGGCCAATTTGTGCACGGCAAAGAAAACCAGAGGCAAGAAGGAGGGAAGGATCGAAGGCGTAGGCACAAGCACTTAGTCGTTGGGACCATTGAACCGAGAAGAAATCGAAGAAACGGGAGGCGGCAAAGGACCGCAAGAAAATGGCAAAAGCGACCCTTCCCCCGAAAAGGAGAAGGACCGCCGAAAGAAGTAGCATCATGGGGCGCACGCCGCAAGGGAAAGAGGAAGGAGGAAGAGATAGTAAAGTGCCGGCACGAGAAAATGCAGGTGGGCCGAGAGGGTTGCTGGGACGCAACGTCAAGGAGACCAAGGGACCACGGGCCAAGTGAGGACTGCGTCCGGGGAGGACGGTGCACGGGACACGAGAAGGACAAGAGAAGGAGGCCGCCATAAGGCGGAAAAATGACAAGTGTCGACGGGACCACCGGCAGGGCAAGTGCCGGCGGGACCACTAGCGGGACTAGTGTCGGGGACTAGTGCGGGACGAGTGGCGGGGACTTTTGATATCCCAAGGAAAAATGGCGGCACAGTATGTGGTGCAAAAAATCAAAGCAAGTTGCACCGTCAAGATCGGATATCTTGACGACAAAAAATATTTGCACCACTAGTGCAAGCACTAGTGGGAGCAAGTGGGAAGGCCAAAAGAAAAATAAAAAGTAAAGAAAACAAGTACTGGAGGCATGGGAGCAATCCGAAAAATCTCGGATTGGCCTCCCCCAAGAAAATGGGGCCAAAAGAGCCAATATGAGAAAAACAGGCCTCCCGGAGAAAATCGGTGCATAGGGGCCTACCGTTTGGGAGAGGGGAGAGGCAAACGGTGGTTCCCTAGGGCATGGAAGGGCCACAACTGCAGTCCGAAAAATAACGGACTGGCCCTTGGGCATAGGGAGGGCCAAAACTAAGAGGAAGAGGCTATAAAAGAGCCTTAACGGCTAGTTGACACTTGGCATGCACAAAGAAAAAGAAAAGAGAAAGAAAATGTGGGAGAATGAGACGAGTGAGAGGGAGTGAGTGAGTTGGCCGTCAGTAGGGACTGCAGCAAGTAGGGACTGCCAAGTCCCAACTGTCCAAGGAAGGAGGAAAAAGAAAAAGAAAAGAAAAAAAAAATGAGAAAAGGGCCTTAACGGCTAGTTGACACTTGACATGCACAAAGAAAAAGAAAAGAAAAAGAAAAGAAAAAGAAAATGAGAGGTGAGAGAAGATGAGTGAGTTGGCCGTTAGTTGGGACTGCAGCAAGTAGGGACTGACAAGTCCCAACTGTCAACATGTGGAGGAAAAGAAAAGAAAAGAAAAGAAAAAGAAAAAGAAAAGGGGGAAAGTCAAAAGGGCACTAACGGACGAAAACGGCCACCTAGGGAGGACATTTTGGACCAGATTCATTGTGGGAATATGGCGGTTACAAGGGACTTTGATTTTCTTTGAATTATGCAGAGAAAATCAAAGAAAATCAAGGCCCCTTGCAACCGAAAAATAACGGATTGCATGGGAGAGGCCAAACACATGTTTTAGGTGCACCGGGGGCCAAAATGGAGACCGGATGCACTTGGGACTTGGCCGTTTTATTTTCTTTCAGTTGGGGGATAGTTGTGGGGCACTAGGACAATGAAAACAGCCCCTACTGCAGTCCGAGTTACAACGGACTGCATAGGGAGGGACAAACACAAGCCTTTGGGGCTCCGGGAGCCAAAATGGAGCCCGGATGCCTTTAGAAAACTAACGCTTCATTTTCCTTGGGCATGGGGCATGACGTGGGGCTGTGGGGCTAGAACGTTGGCTGTGGCTACAGTCCGAAAAACAGCGGACTGCATGGGGATGCCTAGGCCAAGGGGTAATAAGCCACGACACGCCCAAAAGACAAGAAAACGGCGTCGTAGGCATAGGGGAGCATAACGGTAAGTGGCGACGGCAAGGCGGGGGTCCCGCGGCCGGGAAAATAAACGCCACACTTCAGGCACATGGGAACAATGAAATGGGACTGCCGGGGACATGTGCAAGGAAAATGAATATGGACGAAGCACAGAAATCCAGAATGCAAAATCATACTGAAGTCCAAGTAATCAAAGCCAAAGCAGATAGCACATGGAACCGAGTAACCATCCCATTGAGAATGATACAGAAGAATCGTGAGTCAATGTCCATGCCCAACAGGGCAACACCAACAGCATAACCCAAATGTAGCTCTCTCTTGTGAATGGCGCCAGGCGCCCTATCTACTCTACAGCCTAGCCTACAACTACAGCAATGAAAGCAACCAGACTACTTAACTACCAGCGAGTGATGATGCAAACACCAATGCCGACCTCCACCTCCACCAGGTACGTGTCCTCTTCCCCACACTCTCCCTTGTTACCCACACAGCGCCCTTCACCTTCGAAGACCACCTTCGCCCTTCACCCCCACTGCACCCTCATGCGGCCCGGCTATGGCCGCCAATGCCCTGGTGCGCAGGCAGCGCCCTACCGCCTAGCGCTGGCCTGCCTTGCACCTCTCTTAGCGCAGCGCAGCAGCAGCAGCAGCAGCAGCTCGCAATGGCCAAGATCCCTGCCCAATCGCCCTGCTTGCCTATATGCCAGTGCAACGTGTGGGCGGCCTCCCTTCAGCCTGTTACCGGGGCCCAAAGGCTGAACCCAGCACGATACAGTTGGGCCCCAGGGCAATGCAGTTGCGCCTCCTTCATCAAGGCCTGCGGCCATATTCAAATAGTGGGCCGATTTCCCTTTGGCATTTTCGACCTCTATACCCAGCATGCATTGTCGGCCTCACGTTCGAGTGCCCAGGGCCTAACTAACTCAGAGGCCCTGGACTTTCAGCATTTGCTGAAATCCGAGACTCGGTGCACTCCAGCAACTGGCGTGCTGCAGCTGTATGGACCCCACTTCGTGAAATGTTGGCACAGAGGGCTCTTGTTGATTTGGTGGCCCGCCTTCACTTAGGGCGGGAACGAGGCTTGCTGGGGCCTTAGCCCAGAACATGTACATCATGGCAAGGCCCCTACTTTCAACGAGGCTTGCTGGTGCCTTCCCTTTCAACTTCCTTTCATATTCTGCCACCACCTGAGGAGCTGTCTCAATCAGTTCCTCCCTGGTGAACCACCGATCTTCTTTGGGATCTGTGTGATGCCTGAATCTGACGCGATATTCTCTCTTGGGTTTAGGAGGTCTTCCTCGACCCAGCGGCTTTGCAACAGGCATGTCTCTGCGATCCACAATGTCGTCGATGTCGACTTGTCCATCCATGGTTGGGGGCAGCATCGATCTCCTGGAAGGGAATTGATCAGTTTCAGTGAAAGGTGCAAGCTTTGAGGCATGAAAGACTGGGTGAGTGCGTAGGTGTCCAGGGACACGAATGACATAAGTGGGACCATCCATCTCATCTCCCACTATATCTAGGACTTCCCAGGGACCAAAGTATTAAGGCATTAGTTTGAGTGAGACTCCGAATTCCTGTCCTAGCTCGCTAGCCTTGACCCAGACACGTTCCCCTACCTGAAATGTGGACTGTCTAAGATGTTGATTCTTAGAAGCAATCATTGCTTGCTGAGCTTTCTTCATGTGCTCGACAGCTTCTTGCAGCAACTTCTCATATTGCACACCATATTCCAGTGTACCTGGGGTTGCAGCAGGTCGGTTTTCAGGTAGGAGGAAGTCTAACGCGGATCTAGGCTTCCATCCCAAGTGTAGCTGGTTAGGACTTACGCCGGTGCTGCTGTGCACAACATTGTTGTACAAACTGGCGATGAGTGGCAACTGCTCATCCCTATCATCTTGGTTGGGCTTGATGTAATGCCTCAGCAAGTGTTGTACAACTCTATTCATCTATTCGGCTTGTCCGTTGGCTTCGGGATGATTCCCTGAAGTCATCTGAAGTTGACTGCCCATTTGTTCCGCAGTCTAGCTCACTCGTGAATCGAACGTCTCTATCACTAACGATAGTCTTTGGTAAACCAAAGTCCCGCACCTAGTTGTCCTTGAACAACTTGATAACGTATTTTGTCATGGCTGTCTCCGGCATTGGTATTAGTCTAGCGTACTTGGTGAACCGGTCAATGATGACGAAAATATGCCTCTTACCACTCTTGCTGGTCACTAGGGTGTCC